CTTGGAAACCTGGGATGGGGAATGGGATTAGGAAGGTAAAGGGAAGCAAGTAGCAGCCTCTGATTTTCAACCCCACTGTCCCCACCTGCTAGCAAGGAGCAGAGGTAGCTGTGGTCATGTGTATCCTTGGGAAAGAGCAGTTCCCTTCTGTGGGGGAAGTAATAATACATGGACAGTAGTATTAATAACACTAATAGTTGCAGATACTGTTTATTAAGTGCCTGCTCTGTACCAGGCACTTTCTTTATATTATCCCATTTGATCCTGGGAGGCAGATATTATCCTCTCATTTTGGAAATGACAAAACAAGCTCAGAGAGACTAAGTAATTTGTTCAAGATCGTACAGTTGGTGGCGCGGGTGGGAGGAATTAGTGGAGAGGAAAGTTGAGAGATGAGCCCAGGCGCTCTGGCTTTTGAGCCACTACCCGCGTTCCTACACCACCCTCGGCAAAGGCTTGTGTGGTTGAAGCAGAGGAGTGGCCTGTGGGCAGAGAGGAAGGAAATGCCGACTGAGAGTGGGCAGTGGGACTGTTCCAGGCTGGGCTGCCCTTCCACCCCCCTGGGAAGTCAAGAGAGGACTGGGAACAGTGGAGTGATAAACAGCCGGGGCCCCAGTGCTAAGAGAGATGGTGGGTTGTGAGGGGAACAGGCTGGGGTGACGGAGAGAACGCCAGTCTGGGTGCCCAAAAGTGCAGGTCCTAATCAGGGCTGTACCTTGAACTTGCTGTCTGACTGGGCAAGTGCTCACCTCTCTGGGTGTCTGGATGATGGGTAATGTTTCCTTTCACTCTTCTATTTGAGGGCTCTGGGATTTGGGGATGGCAGGTCACTTCTGTACTTTCTTCCTTCTTGGAAAGATGGAACAAGTACAGGTTCCTTCATGAGCGGCCGGCTTGAACTCATAGCCTAAGTGTCCCCAGGCCTAAGGCAGGCAATGGGAACCTATGCTCAGCTGGGACCAGGCTGGAAGCTAGGGAAAGAGCAGAACAGAAGCTTTTCTGCTCCAGCCCCTCAGCTAATCAGTCACCTGGTCTCTTGTTGCCTTAGAGCCACGAGGATTCTGGGGACCTGCAGTGGGAGAATGGGCACCTGTGAGCCTGTGGCAGTCTCAGGTAGGCCTGGTGCTGGGCACAGCTCTGGCACGTGGTCTGAGTTGGTCAGGGGTCAGGGTGCGGGGAGGCGGAAGGCTGGAGAGAGCTTTGTTAGGGGAAAGATAAACTGGCTACTCGGTGCCCTGGAGATACAAGGGTCTGGGCTGAGTTCTTTAAGTGGAGAAAGAACCGGCAAAATATCCAGGGCATGGGAGGGAGGCTGAGCTGAATCTGCGCAGGTGCCTCCTTCCCCGTCACAAGGCCATGGGTGAGTCATTTACACACAGCTTTCAGTTCCTCCACTGACAAATGTAAGTAATAATGCCCATCCTGAAGGGTCGACAAGGGAATGAATTGAGGAGATAGAAATGAAGTTTCAGATAGAGCCTGCCAAAGAGTAGGTATTAAATGGTGGCTACTATTATTGTTGCTGTTAATAATAATAATAAATAAAGAGGCATCCTGAGCAAGTGAAAGGAGTAGGGGCATGGGAGGCAGGTTTCGCTACCCTCTGGCTGTGTGACTCCCATCACCTCTCTGTGAGAGGTGGAACTAGCTGATCTCAAGGCCCCTTCCTGCTCTGACAGCCTCTGGGCTATGAATAGATGGGGCTGGGGCCCCGGAGGAGTTTAATGACTCAACAGCTAGAGAGGTTAAGCTTCCCAGAAAAGAGTTTCTGTTTGCATTTGATGAACTTAAGGCCCAAGAAGGGAAGAGTTTCCTGGCTGGGAGGCCAGAGATGAGGGAGCTGAGAAATCCTTGCAGCCAGCAGAGGCTGTGACTAACCAGGTAAATGACTAACGCTGACCCTGCTGACCCTCAACCAATCAGGGCTGCCCGTGGTGGGTGTCCTGCAAGCTGGCATCACTGAGCACGTCTTGGCCATGCCAATCCTGGCTGGCTCTGGGCTTCACAGCATATGGAGGCAGAGGAAGCAGCAAAGAGACCAGCAGGGGAAAGAGCACTAGACTTGGAGTCAGAAGACCCAGCTTCTTGCTCTAACTCCCTGCTCAGCTGCATTACTTTGGCGGGGGGGTAAGGGAGTCTTTTCCCTTCCCTGAGCCTCCCTGCCTTCATCTGTGCAATGGAGCCAACAATACCTGCCCTGAAACTTCCCTGAGCTGTGAAGGCTGGGACTCAAGACATTGGATGAAAGGGCATTATGACCATTAAGGTACTGAATGAATGGGAGGTTCTGTCATTATTCTGTCCCACTGGGATTGCTGTGCCTCAGGAGACACACTTGAGTCCCCAAAAGGGTCAAGTGGACAGAGGCTGCTGCCTTTGGGTTTTGGGTCAGTCTGAATATAAGGCCCCTTCCAGCCATCTGATCACAGCCCAGGAAGGTTTTTCTTAGAGTAGAGCTCCTGTGGACAGCTTCCAGCCAGGTGGCATAGCCAGAGTGAAAGGTGACAGAGAGGGATGGTTGGCTGAGGCAGGGAGTGGGCAGTGCCAGTCGGGGGCCCCCACAGGCCTAGGGTGGTGCTTTGATGCTGTCTGTCCTCTCGCCCAGCACTTTATAAATAAATAATCACCAGAACCGCACCCTATCTGTCTCTACTTCCAGCTTTTAGCTTCTCTCTTGGTGAGGACTACAAGCACTTTGGGAAACGGCAGGGATGGAGGGAAAAGACACTGTCCTTGCATTTCTGCACACCTTAAACCCATCAGTAGCCTTCTGTGTGCTCATGTGTGTCTCTGGGTACTGTGCCAGCATGGGGAGCACAGAGATGGGGGACCGCAGGGCCCTGCCCACATGAATGTTAATTACAGTGTGGTTAAAGAGACAAAACACATCCCCTACAATTTAAATAACCATGCAAAAGAGCCTCCAGTGTCACGCAGGTCACCCTGACAATAAATCCTGCAGTTTTTCAGAGCAGTGGCTTGGGATGTTCTTAGAGACTTTACGGAGGAAATGGGGTTTGAACTGGACGTGGAAGGTTAGCTTGGACAAGATAAATAGAAGACAGAGAAAAAGGCGTGCCAGACAGGCACACTTAAGGTGTTCTTAGGGAACAGGCTGGCTGCAGCTGAGGGATCGTGTCAGTAAGAAGTGAGAAATGAAGTTGGACATAGAGATTGGAGCCAAGTGTAAAGGTCTTTAAAATCTGAGATAAAGAGCACAGAACAGATTCTATGAGTAAGGGAACCACTGAGGGCTTCTGAGCAGCGGACTGGTATGGTCAGAGCTGTGCTTTGGGGAGATTCTTTCTGGCAGCATCATTCAGGGGAACTTGCCCCATGGGGAGTAAGACTGGAGGCGAGGAGGTCAGTTGGGAGGTTACTGGGGAGCTGCGCAGGTGGGTACAGTGGGACTGAGAAAGAAAGGGGACAGATAACCAAGGACATGATGTGTGGGAAGAGGGAGAGCGAATGTTCAGTGCTCCCAAAACCCTGGCAGGTGGCAGGGCGGTGGGAGAGGGGAAGACACCCCTGGTTTGGTCCTTCCCAGGAAAGCAGGCTGCTTGATCTTTGGGCAGGCCCGCTCACCCTTCTCTAAACTCCCAGGGGCAGCCGAACCCAGAGGTGCTCCCACTTGGGCCACATCCACTTGTGGCCCCTTTTTTCCTCTTCTAAGAGAGGAATCCAGAAACTACACAGCATAGCTCCCTGTGGTCCCCAGAGAGACGTGGAGCCTCAGCACAGAGTCTTGCAGTGGAGAGACTGCAGGGACAGCGTCGAGTCCTGCCTTTTACCCTCTGGACTCCTGTTGACTCCCAGGAAAACACTGCCATCTTGTCATGAGCTATGCCAAGTGGCAAGGAGCCCCTGGGAGTTTAGCCAAGGCAAGGAGGGGACCAGGGAGAGGAGAGGGAATGGGAAAGATGGAGAAAACAGCTTCTGGTGGCATCCCAGTGGGCTTTGGGGAAAGTGGGTTGGGAGCACATCAGGACTGGGAGGAGCCCTTGAGATCACTTCAGCCAGCCTCTTGTTGTCTAGAGGTGAGCCTGAGACCCAGGCAGGGGAAAGGACTTGCCCAAGGTCATACACAGGAGAAATGACGGAGCTGGGCTGGATTCATAGTCTTGGGTGTGGGGAAGGTGTTTACTCCTGTCTGGACATGTTGAACAGCATACCAAGGGCCTCACTGGAGATTTCTTTCCTGGACATCTGTTTGTGTGCCGTGTGTGTGCCTGTGTGCGCCCCGAGTGTGCTTATGTGTGTGTGTGTGTGCGCGCCTGTGCCTGTGTTGTGAGAGTCTAGGTGTGTGTGTGGCTTCCTATGCCTCGGCTGGCCTTGGCTTGGAGAAGAGAATGGGCCATTCCTGCGAGGTGCCTGTTTTCCTGGGACAGCGGAGAACTGGATCTGGCTTCCAGAACCAGCTCTGCTACCCTAACAAAATTAAAGGCACCGGCTGGTGGTGCCCAAACTGTCGGGACTGGACACACACACACTAAGAGGCACTCACAGCCCCCAGTTACAGGCCGTCTGAAGAACCCAGAGTGGCTCTGAGTGCCGGGAGTCCCGAGTACCCGCATCCACACGTGTCCCTGGAGCCCCAGCCCGGACCGGGTGCGGAAGCCCATCTGCAGGGACACGGAGGAGTCGCGCGCTCCCAGCGGCTCACCCTCGGCGCCCGGCTCCACGGCCTGGCCGGGCCACACCCCTCCTCCCCGGCCTCCGCCGGTCGTTCCTGCCCCTCTCACACACTTCAGAGTCCCCCGGGGCCCCGCGCAGCCTGGCAGGGACAAGTTGGGGCTGGCCGGGCTGGAGAGTCAGGTCCGGAGCCAGGGATCGACACCTCCCCCGAGTCCCGTCCTCGGGGAGCAGACACGCCAGGCTGAACTCGGGTTTCTGGGAGCACTGGGTTCGGCGCCTAGACCCTCTCCGGGGGAAGCCCCCTCCCCAGGGGGCTCCGGACCACCAGCCCCAGGGTCCCCGCCCCCTGCCCCGAGAGTAGTTACCGATGGTGGTGATGACGGTGATGGCGAAGTAGAAGGAGCCGGCGAAGCGCCACTGCACGCCGGCCTTGTGCGGCTTGAGGCGCAGCACGACGCGCTCGAGCTCCTCGTAGCCGCCCTGGCTGAGGTTGT